CTGACCGACCAGGTGTGTCATAACGTGACTTCATCTGTGGCGTCTCGCGTTAGAAGGAGATGGGCTGTAGAACCACCACATATTCGTCTCTACATGCCTCCATTAGCACCACTGACGGCGAAGAGACGCGACCATTTTTCAGAAGTGGCTATGCATAACCTTGATACAAGACACACTTTTGCGTGAGACAAACACACATTGTCGGAGTGTGCCCCTCTAAAAAGGCCGAGAATTTCTTGAGGCCATGCACCCCGATGATTCAAGCATCAACCAATATATCGAGTTGGATGGAATGTGCAAAATCACAAAGAAAGATGAAATAGACGACAGTCAATGAATATGGACTAATGTGAACCCTAGTTGCTAGTTAGCGCTCACGCCGGATGACCCCGAACCGATGCAAATTACAGTTGCCCATTAGCGATTACGCTAAAACGACTATTAATTTGTCCACCCCGGACTGACGAAAATTGCAGCTGCCTATTAGCACTCACAACAGATGACTATATAGGTGTACCAGCACTCTTGAACTGCGAATTGTTCGTTATACATTTTCTCAAGTTTGACGATGACCTGGGGCCCTATCGTCGAAAATTTAGTGAATAAACTTTCCTTGTTTTCCCAAAGAACGATTTCTTTTTTAAAATACAAATAAGCATCTTTTTATACTATCGCAAACTCTCCCTAGAACAGAGACCGTTCAGCAGACGACAAGTAGCACTTTATTCTACGGACATTAAACCATAGAACTTATAATCCACACTCGGAGCCTAATTAAAACTAAATGCAAGACACATCTTATTGTATAAAGCACACAAATCACTCTCCAAAAGGAACATGCATAATCCATACCACAGTGTTAAACAGCTGTTTACCAGGAAACAGAAAACTACGTAGCTAGTGCACATTTTATTATCCTTGTTATTTTTCACTGATGAGCCGATAGACATCCCGTAATGCGCGGATTTTTTAGAGCCTTGCGTTGCAGAGTGTCCGAAATCAAGAGCATGAGCTTGATCCATGGATCGCTTTGCAAATGGGCCAGACGCTCCAGTTGTCTTGTGGTGCCTGTGGGGGGATCTGTTAAGGTAACTTCGTTCAGTCGAAACGTTGTGATGTCTCCATCGCCACGCAGACCTTCGTAGCGAGCTCTCGCCCGCAAATTCTCCTGCCTATACCGAAAGCTCGTAGCCACTGGCCGCCACATTAATCCGCTCATCGCCCATACATCCACTTGCTTTTTTAGATGGAATCTTTTATTTGGGGTAAATCTCTAGAGATAGTAATTATGCAAGTGCATTTGCAAAAGTGGGTAGGAACTAAAAAGAAATCAACTTGGTCTTAAGTGCGCTGTCAGTGCCCCGTCCCCTAGTGAAGTGACCTTCCTTGAGCTAGGCAGTTTTCAGATCAAACTTCTGATCAAAAGGTCGTGAGTTCGCGCCTCGGGTGGTGCACCACTTTGGGCTGGGTATGACCGGCTGACGACGGCTAATAAAGCTGAAATGGTCAGTCCAGTCTGCCTTGTCTTTGTCAGCAATGCTGACTGTCAGGGCCCGATAAATGAGACCGAAAGCAGAGCGGGAAGAGTGAGTTACGTAAGCGATCGGTGATTGTTCATCGTGGAGCGTTAGAATTACTTCTAATATCATTCCTATTCTCGAATGTTCTGTTCTATTAGAGAGAGGCACTAAGCACGCGGATAGGCCAATAGCACAGCGGCAGTATTGTTAACATTAATTTGTGGATGAATTTTCATAGAAAAGCCAAAAAATTGGCAAACTATTAAAACTATTTGGCAAAACTATTGGCAAACTATTAAATTATATTCACCCTAAAGTTGAGCATTGAGATAGCGGCAATTAAGGCCTGTGGCGTAAACCCATAAGTGAAAATGTTTACACGGCTAAGTCAGGTAGATATAAATCAACCTGCGGACAATGATGTTGAAACTAACATTTACTTAAGTTAGCATGTTCAAGTTAATTTAAAATTCATATAAATCAGAATAAATTACTGTTGGTGCGTTTTTTCATACCATGCTAAATTCCAAGTGAGCTATGTACACAAGAACCAATTTATAAATGTATATAAGTCCGAAAAATGGAGACTTATATCTTACACAGTTCCATATGCTTTCAGCAAAAGTGTACATAAGGGAAGGGAAGAGAGCGGTCACTATCGGTCAGTATATATGGAGTAAATGTCAGAAGCCTTTAAAAACCCAATTTCTCAGTTTAACCGATACAAGATTGCATAAAAATAGTTTAGATTAAAAAAATGTTACAGGTTGCCTTAGGATACAAAGTCGCACATAGTAATGAAATAGAAATGGTTATAAAGGTGAGGCCCTTGCGAATTGGCGGCGTACAACACCTTTACTCAATCACCATCGTTAAGCGATTTTAATTTAAATAAACAATGTATTGAAATCTAGGAAGTAGTACATTTGTAGGCATATTTGTTATTGGTTAGATAAGCAACGATACGCATGGCATCGATAACTAAAAAATGCACGTCAGCTCTTTGTGACTTACCTGTTTAACCAATGTTATGGTTACTTTGGGGTAGAGTATAACACATTGGAATTCAAAATGGCTGGACACACTTTCAAGGTTAGAACCCAAACAATGTTCTGTTATTGGGTTTTGTAAAATCTTCATTTCTAGTCTCGTCATTCCAAATATGAGTTGAAAGTTTGTGTGTAGTCCACCTAACCTGCTGGATACCTCCTCCGATGTAAGGTTATGACCAGTTATTGAACATTCGGTAACTTCTTCAAAAGACAAAATAACTATAGAGTTTAGGCAGTAGGAGGGTGAACGCAAGAAACCAACTATTCTAAATTCTAACAAGGAAGCAAAAGGATATTTTAGTTTTGTATTGTCTTTACTGTTAATACAATATGCTATGAAAATGGACATGAGAAATATGTCAGTTAAGCATAAATTATGCACGAACCCTGGCGTGCACTGCACGGTTCAACTGTTTTGGCGAATGCCAGTAAAATAAGTTATGTCTGCCACATTGTGATTCAAAATCAGAAAAAAATTGCCAGGTGGTTTTCGGCTCTGATTAATTCTTATGCTAACTGTACAAAGACGACAGTTTGTGCGTCTACGGTCATTGCTAAATCCACCTGTAGCTTAAGTGATACGCATCTACGCATTGATATTGCCACATATTCCCCGGTCAACTCTCCAGCATGCGGATATCCGTTGCGGGCCTAGCCAGGACATAAATATCATAGAATAATGCAACATGAATATTGGGGAACTTCCAATATCACGAAGGCTTAGGATTAGATGTAGATTATGATTGTTTATGCAGTTGCTTGTTGTAGTATTCATCTCTTTTGGTTTGTTCTGATAACTGAAATTATTTGCTGACGTATTTATCCTCCATGATCATGGTAGTGTATAAACAGCAGTCCACGCAAGCTCTCTGAAGTAACAGAGAGCGCACGAGAACCTCTGAGTTCATGAGTACCGGTAACCGGTCAAACCTACTGCGAAGGGTGTTCTCTACAATACAGCTAATATTGAGCAGAAGCCGACGTGATCGCAAGAACAATGAGTTTATTCGCCTGACGTTTCAAAATAAGTCGCGGATCCATCATGAGAGACAATAGCAGAAACGGGTAATCGGGGTCTTACGCGGATCAACACACGACAGTTCCCCGTCGATTTCGACGATGGGCACCACGCGCTCCATCA